CCTAAAATCCTTAGAAATCCCCCTGTGTTATGTTTTTGTTTGCTAATGAGTTGCCTGAGGGCTGGCAGCCCCTAGGTAGCTTCAGGATGGGGGCTGGTCACTGGAAAGAACGAGTCAGGGATTAGAGGATTGGGACTTTCAACATCCCCACCCCTAACCTCCAGGGAGGGGAGAAGGGGAGGCCGAAGGTTAAGTTAATCATCAATAACCTATGGTTTAATCAATCATTCCTGTGTAATAAAGCCTCCATAAAACCGCAAAAAGAGTTCAATGAGCTTCCGGATGGCTGAACACATGGAGGTTCCTGGAGGGCGGCATGCCTGGGGAAGGCATGGAAGCTCCACGCCCCTTCCCCCATACCTTGCCTGTGCATCTCTCTATCTATATCCTTTGTAATATGCTTTGTAATAAACTAGTAAACATTAAGTGTTTCCCTGAGTTCTGTGAGCTGTTCCTAGCAAACCAATTGAATCCACAGAGGGAGGAATCCCAACTTGAAGCTAGTGGGTCAGAGGTTCTGGAGGCCAGGACTTGCAACTGGTGTCTGAAGGAGGAGGCTAGTCTTGGAGACACAGCCCTCAACCTGTGTTATCCAACGCCATCTCCAGGTAGATAGTGTCAGAATGGAATTAGAGGACACCCCGCTGGCCTCTACTGCAGAATTGATTGCTTGCTCATTGGTGGGGAAAACCCCCACACATTTGGTCACAGAAGTCTTCTGTATTGATTGTTGTTATAGAGTGAGAGACTAGAAAAAAAGCACTTTGAGTGTGTTTTTCCACACTCACAACATTTTAACACAAACAAAAGTTAGGTAAATTTGTCACCAGCCAACTCAAAACTAAAGATTCATCCTTAGGCTAAAGAAACATGATCCCAGATAGAGGCATGTAAATGCAAGAAAGAATGAAGAACAATGACATTGGCAAATGTGTAGGAAAATCTAAATGAATATTGACTATATAATATAGTGATAATTTCTTCAAAGAATTTAAATATATAAATAAATATATGTATAATTAAAATGCACAATCATATATTGGGAGGGGCATTAATGGAATTAAAATGTCAGAAAGAACGAATGTACATGAGACTGTCAGAAGGCAAGAGCATACCTTGTAATCTGAAGGGTAGACTATAAAAATGACAAAAGAATGTTTTACTACAAAGCCAAATGAGGCAAGATTGAATAATTTAAAAATAATAACATTAAATATTCAAAAGAAAGGAGAGGAAATTAGAATAGGAAAATAAATGTAAAGCAAACAGAAAGATGGTATATTTAAGCCAAATCATATCTGGAATTACATTATATGTAATAGATTGAAGATTTCAAATTGAAAAAACAGAGACTATTAGACTAGATTTAAAAGGAACATTAATTCAATCAAAATGAACACATGTAAAATATAATGAGACAGAAAATTTTAAAAAAAGATGGCAAAAGATATACCATTAAAACACTGAGCAACTGAAATCGGGTATAATCATTATTAGGAGAAAAAATATACTTTAAAATTATTACTAAAAGGAAAAGGAATATCTCATAATGATAAATGGTTCAATTCATGATGAAGATATTAATAAAACAAATTTGTAAACACCTTTTAACACGGAGCCAAAATATACACAGCAAAAAAAGTGATGGAAGTAAATGGAGAAATGGACAAATCCATAGTTTCAGTGGGAAATTTTAACACACCTCACTTAGTGACAGATAAAAAAATAGACAAAAAATCAGTTAGATGCAGGAGATTTAAACAATATGAGTAACATAATTTACTTGACAGAACACTGCATATGACAACACATGCAACATTCCAGAATAGATCTTATGCTGGTCCATAAAGCAAGGCTCAAGAAAGCTATAGGAGTAATACAATCTACTTTAAATGGTTGCTGTGCAAATTAAGGGTACTGGTTCCCTTTATACTAAGGGTGGGTTCCCTGTCCCTCCCCAACCCCTAGTATAAATCCCAAGAATGTTAAATTCCAATGCCCCCCACCCCAGATGTCCCTCTCTCACTCCCAAACCTGAACCAGAGAGCACCACATAACTCAGACCTTTCCCCTTAACCAGGGGAACATCTCTGCTTTGCCATGATTATAGCCACAGGAGTGGAGGTTTTCGATATGGAGCTAGGATGGATGTGTCAGGGCCCACAAAGTCCATGTCCTCAAGAGAGTAGAAAACAGTCAGCTTGGACCCTTGCTACCCCCAACCCCACTTAAAGGGCAGTCTGCTGGGTGTCCTGTGGGTTGGGGTGGAGGTAGGGGAGGGGGCCCAGAATCTCTCCTGCCCTCTAGGGACCTGAAGCCAAAGCCCTATGCTGACCAACTCACCCATGCTGTGTCCTGAAGGTAGTGACCTGTCACCAATATCCTCACAGTGCTGTCTTGAGAATCTGTATGTTCTGGAGCTAGGGAGTTTGGAGAAGATAGAGAGGGTTGCCGAGGAAGGCAACAGCAGGCTCCAAGTTACTTTGTCAGAGCCCACAAACAAGATGGAGCCTTTACAGGAAATTCCTTCCCCAAAAGCATAGAGAGGAGAGCACTGGGGGGCAAAGGAGATTTAACTTCCTGTAATTACTGCCCCCTAAGTTTGCTACCAGCCTAACATCTACAGAGCTGTTTCCAAGGGAGCCACCCCTGTAGTGATGGTTAGTTACAATAAAGAGGCCTGGGGCCCAGGTACTTGTGGATACAAACACAGAGAACTCTGCTTGCCAGGCTCTGTGGGCTGCATTACATTGTATTCATTTATAGAACACAAGATTCTTATCTGGAGAATTACCAGTTCCTTGCTCTCTCTGAAATTGCTGAGGCTTAGGGAGGTATAGCAGCTTGCCTGAGGGTAATTCAGACATTGTGTGGAGATGCAGACACTGGAACTGAGGCCTATAGAATGGACTTGGTTGCACCATGAATAACTTTAATAAACTCTCCCTACAATATAAGAGATTTACTTAACGAAAGATAAAGTTACAGGGCAGAAAATAACTTTAGCCCATCCCAGAGAGGTCACAGTAGAGGCTGCCTGTATAAATGAAATAGCCAAAGTTTGGTAGAGCACTGGAGTGAGAGAGAGAGAGAGAGAGAGAGAGAGAGAGAGAGAGAGAGAGAGAGGAAAAAAAACCCCCAAAACCATGGCTTTTTATTTTTAAAAATATAGTAGTAGTCATGTAGAAAAATGCCCTTTCATGGTCAGAGCCAGAATTGTAGCTCTGAAAGTCTCAATCCAGAAAGCTTTGCAAGGGGGAGGGAGTGAGAGAGGAGCCTGAGCTCGCATCAGCCAGAAGTTTCTGGTATTTTCAACCCCCTGGTGGAAGTCGCTTCCTGGGTTTCCATCCTCTCAGAGAGGGCTTTCAACCCCTGAGTAAGCAGAAGAGAAATATTGCACCCAAGAGTGTGAATATTTGGGATGAGGTAAGCATGAGACAAAGATACATACACGTACATAGATGAACTGCCAAGCAAAAAGTTGTTAATTTTTTATTTTTTATGAAAGAACATCACATAAGGCTTTTCCTAAACTGGTAATTTTTGGTCAATTTGTTATTGGATATTCTCAAGCATTTCAACAAATTTACCCAATTACAAAGTATTAAACACTATAATATATATGTGTGTATATATACATATATATATATGAAATAAAACCATTCTGCATCTTCTAGCTATATGGTCCCCTCACCATGAACTAAAAATATCCACTTTAAATATTAATAGATTTGTGGGCTGGGCACAGTGGCTCACATCTGTAATCTAGCACACTGGAAGGCCAAGGCGGGAGGATCGCTTGAGGCCAAGAGTTAGAGACCAGCCTGAGCAAGGAGACCCCATCTCTACCAAAAATAGAAAAAATTAGCTGGGCGTTGTGGCACATGCCTGTAGCCCCAGATACTTGGGAGGCTAGGGCAGGAGGATCACTTGAGCCCAGGAGTTTGAGGTTACAGTGAGCTATGATGATGCCACAGCACTCTACCTTGGGCGACAGAGCAAGTACTCTGTCTCAAATAAATAAATAGATTGGTGAATATTTTCTAGATGTGCAAGGTAGGTGTTTGCCTATTTAAAATATTTGTAAGTAACATACATGCGTATATATACCTACACACATACATAGATATTCTTTTTAAAATTTACAGTCACATAATTTTCTCTAAATTGGATTTTTCACATGTTGTGGTGTTACAAGTGTTATAGCGAGTGTTATAGCGAGTGGTCCCGAGGACAGAGCGGCACCAGGTGAGTCGGAGAATCAAAGTTTATTTTGCCTGCGGGCTCAGAGGGGACTTGCCACCAAATTCTGAGCACCGTCTACCCGATTTTTACCACTTTTATTAAGTTGTGGTGGTCCGAGAGTTGGGGTATCAGGGCAAGGTAGCAGGTTAGTGTTATGCTGATGTGGGTCTTCCGTTAGTGGTGGGGGTCTCTGGTGCCTGTTGCGCCAAGTAATAGATGGGGGTTTCCCTTGTCAGTGGCATCTCATTTCTTTAGCCAATGTGGTTTGGATGCTGTGCAGATGTGTAGTGGAGAATCATTTTGCTATTTAGGTAAATTAATTGTTGATCTTTGTTACTCTCTGTCCTGGTTAGGAAAACTCCTTTATGTATAGATATATTAACACGAAGTCTGCAATATTGTTTGCAAATATGTTCTCCCCAGCTTTTCACATTTTAATATTTTTTTTTCTTTTGGTAATATAGAAATTATTTCTAAACTTTTATTGAATCTATGACAAAAACAAGACAGGTCATTCTTTGAGGGTAGCTTGGGAACAGAAGAACACAGGGGGAGTAGGAAGGGAAGAGAAGGGGTCAGGGAAGCTGGGATAGTTCTGAGAGGAAGCCCAGCTGGGACAGGGAGCAGTGGGGGACATGGGAGGGGACTCTGACACACTCACCTTCCTTGAACACCCCACTGACAGAAAAGCAGAGCATCCTTTCCTGAAAGGGAAGAGCCCAGGCATTCGGCATCCTCCTTAACCAGCTACTCACCTCTGGCTGTCTGGGCCTGCCCTTGGGAGCAAGCAGGTCTGGAACCACATGTCCACCAAAAAGGAGCTGAGGTCATTCTGAGTTTTGGGCAACACCCTCAGGGAGTCCATGATGTCACTCATGTCACATTTTGTGTGCTTCAGCAGCAAGTGCCTTCCCAGATCTGCGAGGGGTGCATGAGGGGAGGAGAAGCGAGATGCGAAGATGCGGTGGTGGCAGGGGCGGGCTGGGGGCTGCCATACCCTGGCCCTGGGCCCCTATGCCCTGTGAATGTCCCTTCACCTCCCCTTACCCTGCCCAGTCTTCCCCATCACACACTAACAGGGGTCCTTGAGCATTTTCATAATCCTGCTTTTCCTTGTAGCTGCTCCTCAGAGAGAAAGAGGAACAGGAAGTGGTGGTCCAGCCAGTGTTGGTTTTCCAGGAGCTGACCTGTGTTTGCTGGGGAGCCTGCCTCTTGTCATCACCCCGATGTGCACTACCTCCACCCTTCACCCAAATTTAATCAGGCTCCCTCTTCTCACCTTAGTTTTGGCGGGTTCAGGATCTTGACTTTTGGGGCCTTCTCTATAATGTTAAACAGGCCATCCAGCCGGTGCAGTTTGTTGTTGCACAAGTTCAAGCACAACAGCTTTTGAGGAAAAAGAATTATAGTGACTGTTATCATCTAGGTCCTCGAGACAAAGCTCTCTTTTCTTTTGTATTTAATTGATATACTCCCCTCCCATTCTTTAATCCTTTTAAGAACATTGGGAAAATAATGTCTACTGATTTTGTTGGAGGCTGATTAAGAAAGGTGTTCAGAAGAATAAATAGTAAGTATGAATCTACTGGAGTGAGAACCAGGCCCATCTCTCTTTACAGAATCTTGGGTAGGCCATTTCTCTTCTTGTGTCCTCCACTCTTATATGGAAGGGGCAACACTACTACATTTGTATGTGTGTGTGTTTGTGTGTAGTAAAGATGTAGAACATTGCTGATATTGCTGAGTTAGGGGAGTAATCATGCTTACTTTCTTCTTTATATTTTTATTTGTTTCATAAATTTAAAAAGCTTATCATATTTCAATTTCACAATACAAATTGTGCTTGAAAAACATTCCACCACTTATATTTTACACAATTTACAGACTTCTGAACTTGCAGAAACATTTCTGGGACTTCATCACATACCAATTCTTGTTGCCCACATTTAAAAAATGTTATTATGAACTACTTAAATTATAATAAAAATTTATTATGAACTATTTAATAAATACCAAATAGTGTTAGAATATTTCTAGTTATTCCAGAATTAAAGCTTTCCTTTGATGCCAATAATTTTGTTAACAGACCTTTAATGGTGCTCTCTGTGTCGGAGGATAATGCTTGGTGTTGGATGTAAAGACGAGTAAGATGTGATGACTTCTATTCTCAGTGGAGATTACAAAAGTATGTACAAGGCAGGTACCTTAGCATGTAATGCCCTTATAGAAAAACAACTGCATTTATTCTGCATTTTTCATAAGCAGCACAGCTGTAATAATATTGACAAAGAATGCTGGTATCGGGCTAAAGGGTGTAAAGCAGTTTTATGAAATATTAATCCTAAACCTAATGAATTACAAAACCTAATTTCCATAGTTGTTACAAGATTTCATAGAATAGCAAATGGAAACTCAGAGTACTGTGTGCAAAATAAAAAACAAATGCTGGTTATCTTGTCTCCACTCCCTGATAAATAAAACACTTTTAAAGCAAATCCTGATTTGTAAACCACAGAATAAAATATCTAAGGCTAGGAGTGTAATTGGTACTCTGTTAGCAAGCCTACATAGTAATTTTATCCTACTTTTTCCCCACTGTAAACAGTTTTTAGTATAAAAGAGCTGTGGGAATGTGGATGATTTATACAAGCTGGATCTTTCATTATTATTTAACTCTGGCCACAACTTGCTTTGGAGTTGAATCCTACATATAATTTTATATACTCTGTTCCTTCAGGAGGGCATTTCCAAGATAGTCCCATGATGTTACTTAAAAATAACATTGTATTATTTTTCCTTTATTTTCTTGTTTACTAAGATTTCCTTTGTGCAGAGTAACCTGGTAAAGTATGGTTATCAGGACTTTTCAGCATTTTTTTTAAAATCTAGAAAGCTCAGTTGATGGAGGGAAAAAGTAAGAGCCTAAGGATATTTTAGAAAATTCCATGCAGTTGTTCAGAACTTGCTTAAACCTCAGACCTAATGAGCAACAAGTGCTTCCCTTTTAAGTGAGTAGAAAATGGTCTATAGGGTGACCCTGGGCTCTAAAATTTCTTTATTCAAAGTGAATAGAGTTTTCTTAAGAGATAATCCTCTTTGATGATACGAGCAGTGAATCTGAACCTTTAATCTATCCTTCAGAAATTCATTTCAGGGTACTGGTTTATGCCTTTAGTATTTATCAAAGCACAAACTTGTACTTAATTCATCCAGTAAAGCATCTTTAGAGGAGTATGCCTTTAGCATACCTTTAGGTTCACATTATTGGTAAACAGGAAATGTTTGTCCCTGGTCAAATGTTCACAAACTCTTTTTAAACCAGCCTGAGGTAAAGAATGAAATACAATGTTCTGTGAATTTTAGTTGTAGTTTTAATTAAAATGCTTATTTTTCTTCAGTCCATATTCTCAATCTAAACCCATCTTTAATTCTTTACAACACAGAATTCCTGAGTTGCTTTGGATAACCCAATTCACATAAAAATTAACATTTAAAATGGTAGTCAGAGTCAAGTTTGAACAGTATTTTAAAAGAGGTCCAGTTGATATGAAGAAACTGAGTTAAGAGAGAATAGTAACTGCTAATATGTCAGGCACTGTTCTAAGTGTCTTACATAAATTCTTTTAATCTTCATAATTATCCTATAAAGTAGGCATAATTAATATCCCCATGTTACAGATGAAGAAAATCGAGGCATAGTAAGTTTCCCAAGGTTATACTGTTATTACAAACCCAGGAGCCAAACACTACTTTATAAAGGCTCTGTGTGAGACAAATATGCCTTGAATCAATCCTCAGAGATTCTGATTTAATTATTGTGGGATGGGATGAGGTTGGAGGCAGTGGTCTGCTGAAGCCAACTCATACTAGATCATGAGATCTAATTGTAAAATTTTCAGGAATTTTGCCAACTGACTGACTTCACTATTTAACATTGGTAGGTTGAAATTGACCATGGAGAGTGTATTCATGACATGGAAATCAGTAAATATTACAAATCAGCCTCCTCTTCTGCAGTGCCAGTTCATAAACATTTAGCAGTAGACCACTGAGTGGAAGCTAGGTATCATTAATTTGAAAAACTCTGCAAGGGATCCTAAGATGCAGTTGGGGTTGAAAACCACTTTGGTAGCCTATGAACTGTAGTTTCTCCAAGGCAAGGGATCAGAGGAGGGAGAAGATAGGATGTTCACTTTTTACCATATGCATTTCTTTCATAAAATAATTTTCCAAATTTAAAGAAACCAATAAAGAAATATATATACTTTTAAGTTACCCCTTTTACTTGCAGTTATAGAAATAGCAGGTGGCGTGATATTTAGGGTGAGGCAAAGAGATGGACATAGCAGGCAATTAGGGAAGGTTCTTTGCCATAGTCTATGAGGAAAAGTTAAAAGTAGCAAGGAGTCAGTTTTGAAGTCCAGTCAGCAGACAGAACCCACCTCTAGGGTAGAGTCTTTGTGTGGCTCTTGGCTTCAGGTAGGAGATGAAGATCCAGGAAAGTCGGCTGTCAGATACAGAGAGGTCTAACACCAGAGAACTGTAGCCCAGAGACATGAAAGCAGACATGAGATGGTTGGCAAGAAGCAAAAGGAAATTTGGTCATGGAGGAATTTAATCCTAAGCAAGGCAACAGAATGAGAAAAATACGAAGAAGTAAGACTGAGGCCAATTTCCTAGAACTGGGAGACAAAGGCTCAATGAACTAGGCCAAGGTTAGGAGAGGACCAGCAACAAAGGTGGCCTGCCTGACTATGAGCCTAAACCCTAAGTTTGCATCACAGGTGCAGGAAGAAAAATGATCAGGCTGCCAGCTCTAAAATTCTGTAGGAACAGAGTGGCCACAAAGTTTGTTACATATAATCTCACTTCAGCAGTTGTAATACTTTAAGAATTATAGTTGTTTCTTATGGTGCAACTTCAGTTACACAAGCCAAAAATAAAATGCTATTACAATTGGTCAACATAATGAGTTTGCACCATCCCCATTACCCTCTAGCTTTTATGTGACACAATTTTTTTTATTTTGCTCCTACTTCATGATTTTTAGTAAAGACCCATTAATGTAGTAAAAGTGAATAAATAAATAAATAAGGGTAGGTGTAGCCAGGACAGTATGGACTTGAAAGACAAGGAATATATATCATATAATAGCTTGAATACAGAGGGGATGGTGTGGCCTCATTGTGTTCATATAATGATGAAGTTATCTTTAAATTTTCAGTCAACTCAGTAGAGAAAACTCTTGAGACTGTAAAGCAACTCTTAATGTTGAACACTAAGTGATATGTTGATAGACAAGTAACCTATCAAATCCTATTGGTGAAACTTTTTCAGTTTACTCAGATGCATCCTTTGAAAGGTGACCCATTTGCTTAAAGGTAATATAAGAAGTGGTACTGATAGATTGTGCTGTCCACAAAACCTCAAATTCATGGAGCTCCTTGTGGACAGACACTCCAGTAAGTGCTTCCTACGTAGTAGATAGTCAATGATTATTTATTGAATTGAAAGGATGGTATATGGCAATCTGTATATTGAAAATAACTGGGGCAGACCTGAATAGAAGTTCCAGAAGGAATTTATGTGGTCCTTCAGAGAAAGTTCTTGATGAAGGCATTTTAGACACTATGATGTGTCAATTTGGCTAGGCTATAGCACTCAATTATTTAATCAAACACCAATCTAGGCATTGCTGTGAAGGTATTTTGTAGATGTGGTTAACATCTGTAGTCAGTTGGCTTTAAGTAAAGGAGATTACCATTTACTTAAATAATGTGGGTGGGGCTCACCTAATCAGCTAAAAGGCTTTATGAGAAAAAATTGAGCTTCTCAGAGGAAGAAAAATTTCTGCTATAAGACTGTATTAGTTCCTGTATGAGTCTGCTGGCCTGCTCTATAATCTTTAGACTTTCCAGCCCCCACAATTGCATAAGACAATTCCGTAAGTAAAATTCTTTAAAATATATATTCTTTGAAAAGAAATATATACTGGTTCTTTTTTTCTGGAGAACCCTGACTGATATAGTCACTTACTAGGGTAAAATAGGGGCCCTTGGCTTATCTCTTAATAAGATAGTGTGTGCTTTTGACCTTTATAGACTTTTTGAAGTAGTATTATCTTTCTATTCTTTTAAGTACAGTATTGAACTTACTTCATGCCATATATGGGACTAAAATGACTTATTTCCTTATTAATTTCTTTAATTACATAGTTATCAAAATTTATTTTATTTATGCTAGATCAGTTTAACTCCTTCTGAGACTTTTTATCCCTCTAGTTTTCTTTTTCTATTTTGTCAATCTA